AGTACAACTACGTTGTTTCACCAAACCTATGTATTTGTTAACATTCTATAAATATATATTTTTTATGAAAAATATTATTGAGAACCAAAGGGGTGACGGCTTCAGTGAAGGTTAAGAACCACTCGCTATCTTTTGCAATCAATATGCTGGACATTAGAATGAAATTTCGAATGCAGGTGTTTTCACTTTTGTTTCCGTGATGCTCATCGCCCGCTTGATACCTTCAGAATGATGATGCCGATTATAAAGTTTTCATTCTATTAACGAAACCCCCATTACTTACGGCTCGGTGTCATTTCAGAGGTGTGCAACGACAGCCTGGCTTAAAATGTATCCGTGCCATCGTCTTGGAGGCCGCTCTCCTAGCTTACTTTTACATGCTAATTCATCGCATTAACATCATGCTAATATCTCACATTAACATAGCCACTTCCGTGCCCTCGTCGAGGAAGCCGCTCTGCTATCTTACAGTTCCACGCTAATTTATCACATTAACATCACTAGCCCCGGCCACTTCTTTATGAACCTTGGGCGACACTCATTTCAAAACCTTTTAAAAACAGTCTGCATCAACAGCGGACCATCGCTCTCCCAACCGATGACGGACGCTTGCGTTGCGCCCGAAACGTCGTGATTTATTTTATTTTATACCCACGTGACTTTACCGAAAGAACCAAAGAGTATATGGATTGAAACCCTTTGCAATGCACCCGTCTAATCGCGTGCAAGTCGAGAACCAAATTATGCAAGGTTTTTTGACGTCACGTCATTTAGACCCGTGAAGCGAACACGCGCTCTGCACACGAACGAGGGAATGCACAACAAGGCGGTACAGGGCGAGACAGAAATGCAATCGATGATTGAATTTGCGACCCTGAAACCGCGGCCACAATTTCGTCTAATCGTTACAATCTCTGGCGCGGTTTATCAATGGAAATACGGCCATCCTGAGCAAAATCGTCGCTTATATGTAAGTCGTTAAAAAAACAAACATTTAGGGAACAACAACAAAAAATGCCATTGCTGTGGCTGTCACAAGCAGCAGGCATTCTGAGTTCAGATAACAAGGTCAGTGACATCACACGTGACGCCTCTATAAAAATCCATACCCGTGCCTTTGCTCGCTCTCCGCTATGGAAACGAGCACGTGTTCTATTGGAAACTTCATTACTCATGCTCCAATTAACATCGCCGTCTTGTTTAACCCATACGTTCACCAAATACGCAATTCAATTTTCCAATTTGCCACTCGCTGCTATCCGAACAAAAGTGATGTTTTGTTGTTTCTTGATTTGAAGTTTTCGTGACTGCAGGAATCCATACTCTTTGGTTCTTTCGGTAAAGTCACGTAGGTACAATTTTTGTTGTTTTATTTCTACCTACGTCACTTTACCGAAAGAACCAAAGAGTATGATTTTTGTTGTTGTTGTAAACATTCAATTGTTTTTCTTAATTATTATCCGATACCACATTAGGGTTAGGCACCGGTGATGTAGCAGGGTGGGAGCTAATATGGCAGATCATATTATCCATGCGGTTATCCAGGAATGCTTATCCCGTGAGAAAAAGTGTGGGTAGCAGGATAGATTTGCTGAAGAACTCTTATTTGCCAAAGAAAAATGCGTAAAATAAGGAGTTCTCCTGTATCATGCCAAATTCGGCTTCTCGTGAATTTCATCCCATTTTATGATCCTGATTGCTGTGATGGAAATTCCACATTCCTATGCTGGGGGGGGGGGAGGGTAGGTGGGGTGGTTAGTCTCTTCACAAGACAACCACTGTTAACTCATCACAAAGCGGTCCTACTTTTATCGACCTCGAGAGTGATGATGGGCAAAGGCAACCCACAAGTGGAACAAAAGCGTTGTCACTTTTTCAATTGTGGACCCTTAGCCACCCTCGCGCCACGGCACCACTGTCGCAGACGGCAGCACGCGGGAGAATTTAATTGGGCGGAGAATTACATTGCACGGACCGCTCTCGAAAAGTCGCATTATATTCCTGCCAACATTGAAAACGTTTCAATGTCAGAATCTAGTACATTCGAGCGCGCGCATCCCCGGGAGCGGCTGTTGCAAAACGCTGGGACTCGCGTATCGAGCTCCGAAACGGCGGTGGAAACGATGTCAATTTTGCGCCGCGCTCCCCAATTAACTCGAACGACTTTGGTTCAATTTTTGCCGTGAGTGGCGTTGCGGACGACGATTTCCAAAACTACCCCCGACCCCCAGGCCGCGAGTGCACGCGATGTGTTCGTGAAATGCCACCGACAGGGGCGCGATAGAAAGAACGCGCGCCAGTGGCTACCACATCACGGAATGCTCGCCGATGCATTTGACCTTTTTCACGCGCGGGCACAGGCCACAACAAGGTCGTTGATCCGGGCTATAAAAAAAATCGATGGGAAAATTACGCGTCGATACAGCGAATTTTTTTTTTCTTTCTCCGAATGGCCGGTCATGAACACTGCACTGAGTTTCGTCGGCAATGATGTTCCCGAGATTGTAATGACATTGGTATGTTTTGGTTTACGAATTCTACATGTTCATTTGCATAAGCGCATGTGTATATTTTATACGTGTGTGTGTGTGTGTGTTGTGAATTTTCACTGAATATTTACCGTCACTGGAGTAGGCGCGCAACTGGCACCCACAGCCATAGGTGACACTGGATGTGACGAGCCGGGTACAGAGACATCTTCCCGACAGACCCCGTGCGTTCATGCACATGTACACACATGTTGGTTCGCACGCGCAAGAACGTGCTATCAATTTCACCTAAGGCATTCGACAAAAAGTGGCGGGGAGGAGGAGGAGGAGGAGGGGAGTGGCAGCTTTCCTCCGCAGTGCCGAGGAGCCCCCGAAGTAGAGGGTCAGACTTCAAGGCAGCTTCACTTAAGAAGCAAATAACATGGGTTCGACTTCCCGGCTCAGGCCACAGGTTGAATAAAATGAAGTCAATTGGCTCCTGCTCAACTGTAGGCAGCCAGGTAAGAGTTGGGGTGGCGGAAGGGAGGGTCAGGGTAGCGATAGCACCCTTACCACCGTGGCCATATGTGGCCGATGAATTGCCCACATTTGACAGAGTTCAGCTGTGATGCTATGAACATCGAAAAAGCATCGTTTTTCGATGTTCAAAGCATCCAGTGAACTGATAAGAGGTTTTTTTTTTGTGATCGTCACTAGTGCGGGGAAGTTCAGTCACGGGAGTGACGCAGCTTTCGGCAAAGTGTCGCACATGAGACAGTCTCTGGAACACGCAGCCCAGGTCCGAGCTCAAGACGGCAACGTTTTTTTGAACAGAGGCCAGAGGGAAGGAAGCTGGTGTTAGTGAGCGATCTCTCTGTTCACAGACAGCGGCAGGGTCCGGCCACGGGACGATCCAGCCGGTCGGGATGAAGTTCCTGACCTTGCAAGCCCTTGGAACGGAATAGCTCACGCGAGCGGTGCTCCATCCCAGGAGGCGGATGACGAGACGACGGCGCCCATCGAAATCAATTGTGGTTGCTGTGTTGGCGAAGCGTGCGTGGAGATGTAGGTGTCTGGGTCGGTGGTGGCAGTGGGGCCATTCGACCAATTTGAACATTATGGAGTGCACAGCCCGACCAGCGTTTAAACATTGGCTGCGGACATGAGCTGCCGATTGGCTCTTCTGTTGCAGGCTCTTCGTCAGAATTTGTGACCTTTCCTAATATTATTCAAAAAATGTCACCCTTGCAAAAAGAGGCTACAGTCTCATCGGCCCGTCTCCTGGTTGTAGGTCATCATCATGTATGTATGTGTGTTGGGCTTTTTTCGCAACATACATAGCCAACCACTGTTCTTCAGAGGTGTGCGGGAATGACAACAAAGTAAATATGAAAAGCAGTTCTAAAGAAATTAGTTTTCAATCTAGATGATTTAAAAGTGCACAGCTTCAGTGGCTTCCTAACATGATACGGAAGGGCGTTCCAGACGTCCGCAAAAGCGCACCTGAAAGCGCACAATGCAGTGACCCTCTTCGTTCGATAGCTCGTCAAAAGCCACTGCGAGGATGACCAGAGTTGGTGCGATGATTTTTTTTCTTCGTGACCAGACAAGCAAGGCACTGTGGTTCATTTGTGGCCAAGCACTCCGTGTGTAATGAGTGCGACCTCATAATGTATTCGTTTGGCAACCGGAAGCCAATGCAGCTCGGTGGAGACTGGACGGACACGGTCGAATGTTGTACACGCAGCAGCTTGGTAAAACAATTTTTTTGCTAGACATCCCATAGAGTAGTGAGTTGCAATTATCCCTATCAACGACTGCTGGAAGAAGGCCTTGCCAAGGCACCACCACCACCTCTCATTATCCTGTGATGTGCTCGTCCACCTCGCACCTGCACGTGAACTGATTTGGCTTCTATCCAGTTATTATTATTATAATTACCAGCGAAACGTCGTATTCAAATTGTAAATGTTGTGGATTTACTCTCCAACACACCGGTGGGCTGATGTTTACGTGATAAATCTTACTGGCCGTGTCGGGTGGTGGAGGGTTACGACACATTTATACTTACGCGATCTAACCCCAAAAACATTCATAATGAATAATATTTGTCGCAAAAGCCTACTACGTCTTAAACCTATAACCTTCTCGCTAAATCGCCCGGGCAGCGCCCCGCTCAGCCCCGCACTATTATCAATGCGGGAGTAAACAATAACATCACGTGTTCAAATTATCTCGTGCGTTTCCTCAGCCACTTGCAATCCAAGGGCGGACGTCCGCGACGGGCCACACCGCTGCGGGCTACCCCCGGGAATCGAAAACGCCATCGCTAGCTCGTGCCGAGACGCTTTTACCGAAGGAAAGCTCAACGCTGGGAAGCCCAGACCCGGGGCTCCGCGTTCCGCCATTGGCAAGCGCTGAAGACCTCCTCCGTCTTGGGTCACGAACGTTGAATTCTTCGTTGAACGTCTCCCGCGGGGGTGGGGGGGGGGGAGGGGGGGGCGTCGCGAATCCGAGGCTCAGGGGACTCACCGTACCACTCGTCGATCCAGGCAAACGCCTGCCTGTGCCCCACCATCAGCACATCCCGCACCACCTGCTTGCGGGGCGCACACACACCAGCACGCGTTGTGAGCACGCACGCACGCTGCGCGTCAGTACGCGGCACAGCACCAAAAGCAAAGATTGCCCCCCACCCCCCCCCCCCCACCGCCACAGGTGTAGCCTGAACAGACTGTTGGGGCAAAGTGCTGTTAGGGAACACATATGAAGGCCGGAATGGCACACGAGGGGGTGGGTGGCCAGCAACACGCCCGGCTATCATTGACTCCCCAGTGGTGATGATTTTACACACTGCACCAGGTTCTCATTTGAGGCTCAGTCGACCCAGGGAAGGTCCCGGTTCAGATAATCGTCACCGGTCGTTGCCGTGAGTGGGAATTGAACCCAGTTCGCCGTGTACGTAGTGCGGCACACTAACTACTACGCTACCGCTCCACACGCGGGACACCAAAGACAAAACCCCCCATATAGCCTTAAGTGACTGTTGGGGCAAGTGCTGTTAGCCAGCATGGCGCACGAGGGGGTGGGTGGCCAGCCTCGTGCTGAGCCACCGTTGCCTCCCTAGTGGCAATGTTTACACACCATACCAGTTACTCATTTGAGGCTGAGTCGACCTAGGGGACGCCCAGGACAAGGTTCAGATATTCGGCATTGATGTTGATCGTAAGCGGGAATCGATTCCTGGGTGGCTGGGTTCGTAGCGCAGTGCACTAACCACTGAGCCACTGCTCCCACAAAAACACAAAAACAACGGCCATTTGCCACTAAGTGGCGGGAATGTCACCAGGCTATGTACCATCATAGGGGTTTTCCCCTTTTTCTGGCAACAGAACTGAAAAAAAGGGGAAAAACACTATTCTTATATTTTGGTACTGGCAACGGAGGTCTAATGATGTACAGTTAGGGAAAAAAGTATTTGATCCCCTGCTGATTTTGTATGTTTGCCCACTGACAAAAAAATGATCAGTCTATAATTTTAATGGTAGGAGTATTTGAACAGTGAGAGGCAGAATAACAACAAAAAAATCCAGAAAAACGCATGTCAAAAATGTTATAAATTGATTTGCATTTTAATGAGGGAAATAAGTATTTGACCCCCTCTCAATCAGAAAGATTTCTGGCTCCCAGGTGTCTTTTATACAGGTAACGAGCTGAGATTAGGAGCACACTCTTAACGGGAGTGCTCCTAATCTCAGCTTGTTACCTGTATGAAAGACACCTGTCCACAGAAGCAATCAATCAATCAGATTCCAAACTCTACACCATGGCCAAGACAAAAGAGCTCTCCAAGGATGTCAGGGACAAGATTGTAGACCTACACAAGGCTGGAATGGGCTACAAGACCATTGCCAAGCAGCTTGGCGAGAAGGTGACAACAGTTGATGCGATTATTCGCAAATGGAAGAAACACAAAATAACTTTCAATCTCCCTCGGCCTGGGGCTCCATGCAAGATCTCACCTCGTGGAGTTGCAATGATCATGAGAACGGTGAGGAATGAGCCCAGAACTACACGGGAGGATCTTGTCAATGATCTCAAGGCAGCTGGGACCATAGTCACCAAGAAAACAATTGGTAACACGCTATGCCATGAAGGACTGAAATCCTGCAGCGCCCGCAAGGTCCCCCTGCTCAAGAAAGTACATATACATGCCCGTCTGAAGTTTGCCAATGAACATCTGAATGATTCAGAGGACAACTGGGTGAAAGTGTTGTGGTCAGATGAGACCAAAATGGAGCTCTTTGGCATCAACTCAACTCGCCGTGTTTGGAGGAGGAGGAATGCTGCCTATGACCCCAAGAACACCATCCCCACCGTCAAACATGGAGGTGGAAACATTATGCTTTGGGGGTGTTTTTCTGCTAAGGGAACAGGACAACTTCACCGCATCAAAGGGACGATGGACGGGGCTATGTACCCTCAAATCTTGGGTGAGAACCTCCTTCCCTCAGCCAGGGCATTGAAAATGGGTCGTGGATGGGTATTCCAGCATGACAATGACCCAAAACACACGGCCAAGGCAACAAAGGAGTGGCTCAAGAAGAAGCACATCAAGGTCCTGGAGTGGCCTGGCCAGTCTCCAGACCTTAATCCCATAGAAAATCTGTGGAGGGAGCTGAAGGTTCGAGTTGCCAAACGTCAGCCTCGAAACCTTAATGACTTGGAGAAGATCTGCAAAGAGGATTGGGACAAAATCCCTCCTGAGATGTGTGCAAACCTGGTGGCCAACTACAAGAAACGTCTGACCTCTGTGATTGCCCACAAGGCTTTTGCCACCAAGTACTAAACCATGTTTTGCAGAGGGGTCAAATACTTATTTCCCTCATTAAAATGCAAATCAATTTATAACATTTTTGACATGCGTTTTTCTGGATTTTGTTGTCTCTCACTGTTCAAATAAACCTACCATTAAAATTATAGACCGATCATTTCTTTGTCAGTGGGCAAACGTACAAAATCAGCAGGGGATCAAATACTTTTTTTCCCTCACTCTAGATGCTTACCCCGAGCCCTCATTACTTTGTTAGTGCATTGTCTTTGAGCTGTACGTCTTTTGGCGTCCTCTGGTCTAGCTCCAATTGAGACGAGGCTCAAAAGAAAGCCGTCTCTGGTGTGGACCAATAAGTTTCAAGGACAATGCATATATTAACAGAGTGTGTTTTTTTTGTTTGCATTTTGACCACAAGCATTGTGGTTAATGCACACATGATTCCTCGTAAAAAAGGGCTTCAGTTTGGTTTCCAGAAAAAAGGGGAAAAACCCTATTATAATATTTTGGTATTGGCAAAGGAAGTCTAATGAAGCCAGGTGAAGTGTCGGAAGCCCGCTGGGTTGACTGACACACACGTTGCGCACCACGTGCACACCACGCGTGTTACGGAGCAGCGGGGGATTTCTCACCTTGTGCACGAACTGCTCCACGCGCGTCTGCAGGCCCCACACCTCGAACTTGACGGTGACGAGCTTGTAGGAGCACATGATGGGCCCCAGTGTGTCCCTCCAGCCCTCGGCCAGGGGGCCCCGTCCCGTCTTCAGAGACTTGAACTGCCTCACATCCTGTGGGTGTGGGATGCGTGCACCGGTAGGGGAGGGAGGGGGGGGCGCAGTGGGGAGGGGGGGGAGGTGGGGGTCATTCAACTCAGCCCTTCGATCGCCGCTCGGAAGAGGGAGAATTCTAGCCGCGCTCGTGATCCGGCAGAGTGGCGCTGTTTGGCAGATGGTTCAAGCCGCACGATCACTTCGTGATTTTGAGGTCATCGCATTCCATTCGTGTACTCGAGTGGGAAAACAACGGAGGAGCAGCATCGTTTCCCTGCTAGGAAACTCCTGCAGACCGCACTCGTCCGTGAAACAGGGTGCGTTTCGTGATGGCCTTGCGCCGTATGAACGGCGCCACTACCAAACGAACGAGCGGTTGGATTTGATATCACGATCATGGCGGTAAGCTGCTGTTCTAACCGAAGGGTCTCGCCCTGTACGTCGAGGTTTGAAAACCGATGGAGTGCAGCCGCAGGGAACCAGATTTCACGTGACTCAATGGATAGAAAAAGCGCTGGGGCCTTCGTGCGTTGTGCAAAGAACATCGACAGTTCCTGAAGAACTGCATTGTGGTCCTCTTGTCTTAGGTCATGAAGTAAATGTTTGAGCAGATGCGACCAACTCTAGGCAGCATTGGCTAACATGCAGTTATTCAGGAACTGTTGATGAGTTTTGAATAAACCACCAACAAGCATGTTTCTGGTGTTGTTTGAAACTTGGTGCTTCAGCCCCAACTGATTTTTCTGTCATGGTGATGAGTTTGCTTGCCATTTACAGATTTTAATTACTCTATGTGTGCAGTAAGGAAATGTGTACAACGTTATTCCAGATAATTGGATGTAATGCCTTTCGTAGGAATGATTTATAACAATTCACTTTGTACCACACAAAAGGAACCGCACAGATCTCTACAATTAGTTAATAAATGTACAAGTACAGCAATGAGCTGAACAAGACGAATGTGGTGGGAAAATTACGGGACAGTGAAATTGATTTATTGACCATAGATCTTTGATGAGTCGAAATGTTTTATTGGAATTGGCGGGTTTTAAGAGACTTCAGAGATAGAACAATAGAACCATTGTTGGCCCCAGGTGGTGACATTTTAAGTCATTCAACAGATCGTCATGTATTTTTCATTACCTAGAGTACTCGGGTTGTCCATTATGGATGACTTCGCCTCTGCTGGGAGGGGCTCCGTACGAGCATGCACACGAATTACACACATGCTATTTATAGCTATTGGACATCTTGAACAAGAGCTTTATATCCATAATACATAATCCAGGGTTTCTTTGGGTTAAATCGCGTAAAAATATAAATGTCGTTAAACCCGCCACCACTCGACACAGCCAATTAGAAAGGTTTGTCATGTTAAGAGAACGTGACAATTCGTTACTAGTACAGCACAACAGTGTGTTGAAGAGCAAAGCCACATTTACAATCTGAGTACAACGTTTCGCCAGTAATTACAACTAGCTTCATCAGGCGACAGCCAGATTCGTGGAAAAGTCCACCTGTTTCGTTCCTTATATAGAGGGGTAGATATGATGATGACAAGACTTGTGTACTGTTCTTGGGCAAAGTGGGGGGGGGGGGGGATTAATGAATGCACTATGAGATCTATTGCCGTTTGAGTTATTTATATGGTAGTCAACGTACATTATGTATAAGCATTATGCAAGCCCATTGTTTTTGTACATCATGTCAATTATATTCTTGGGTTTTTTGGTAAAGTCACGTAGGTAGGTTCAAAGAAAATAACAAAAAATAACAAAAAACTACGACGTTTCTATCGCAACACAAGCGGTCGTCTTCAGGAAAAGAGGGGTTAGCTTCCAAGGCAAACTGTTTATAAGGGGTTTGAAATGGGCGTAGCCCAAATGTCAGCAGCCAATGATAATGTAAGTGGTGGGCAGCCAACCCGACGGTGGTTGGTTTTCCACCAATCAAAGGGTTGCCAGGTGAAAATTAGCATGTTAAAGAGAGATTAGCATGTTTATGGTAGATCGCAGAGCTGCAACCAAGGGGTCGAAGTGACTTTAAAAGTGCAAGTTTGAAATGGGCGTAAAGCACAACTAACATCGGAAGGTGGTAGGATGGGAACATCATAGCCAATTATGACTTCAACTGGTTGATAATGTACTTCCAATGATTGCTCAGTTTGTACCCATCTTCTCGGTTGAAATTGTGTCTGTGTCTACGTATATATATGGATGGCTTCATGAACGAATCTTTGTTGATAGCCATTGGGCTTGCAAAGTACCTTCGTCTTAGAGAAATCAATTTCGTGTGAGCCCACCGCATTAAAACAATGATCAACCATGGCTGAGGTATTGTTCCTACTGTGTTTTAGATCTGCCTTATGTCCACGAACCTGATCCGAGACATGTCGCTTAGTTTCCCCAATGTAACTACTTGTGTTGTAATCGAAACATCGTAGTTTTTTTTATTTTCTTTGAACCTATATATGTGACTTTACCGAAAGACCCAAGAATATTAATTCCTACAGTCACGAAAGCTTTAAGTCAAGATTTGTCCCGTCGATCATTTGTACTAAAACAACCTACCAACGGTAATCCTGTATAGGCATGTATTTAAACAATGTATTATTTGATGATTTGCTTCTACGCAGCACTAAGTCTGTAGTTATCTGAACGGTTAAAATTATTTTAAATTCTCCAAATTTCGATAGATTCTCTAATTAATTTTGGCCAGTAGTAACTAGTTTTTCACAGCACTTCAACATTATCAAAATCAATTGAGTGTCCTTGTTGGCACGCGTGTTCTACCACTGCTGACAGTTGTATTTGGGAGTGTTTAATATTTTTTTGTTCTTTTAGTCTCGTGCTGATCATCTGTCCTGTTTGCCCAACATAGCATTTGCCAAAAGTGCAATTAATTCGGTACACACCTTCTGTTGATAGCTTCGGCAATACATCTTTTGTACAAGATAGACATTTCTGTATTTTATGTACCATGCCAAATATGACTCGGATGTTTGTTTTTTTCCAAACATCTGGCCAGTTTATCAGTTACTCCCACAGTGCACGGTATTTAATAGTTTTAATCACTTGGCCAGTTTCAATGGTCGTGCAATTGGATTTGGTTTTGGCATTTAATGCCCTGTTGATTTGTGCATCATTGTAACCATTCAATTGCAGCACTGCTTTAACATGTTTAATTTAACTTCTCAGACTATCGCCATCTGACACTTTCGTAGCCCGATGTATGAACGTCTTCATGAAATCGGATTTCTGTGCGGGGTGATGGTGTGACTGCATTAAGTTTCGGCGTCAGTATGCGTTTTCTTTCGGTAAACGCGGTGTGTTATTTTACCATTTCGACCGTGCCTGGTCGGATTACTCCAGTGTAATAAAAGAAAATAAGTATGATTATAAAAACCTTTGCCCCCTTCGTTGAAAATAAAGGATTCCTTTGTGGCTCCTGGCTGTGTATTCGCGTTGTACCGCTCGTTGTCCGGCACGATGTCTGACGTTTCGTTCCACGTGCTCGAAGCTGTATTGAGCTGCTCAATTTCTTCTTCGATCACTTACTGTAGTGAGGCGAAATGTCGGACGTAGTGCCAAACAGCCACACAGCAGTACAACCCAAAAACGCATCGGAGCACTGTACAGCACGACCACGAACACCTTCGCAAGCGGCACGTCCTCCCTCCTACCTTCGTTCGCGAAATTCTAAAAGGGTCTAAAATATTCCTCTAAAAACCCTACTACGATTCATGCAGTATTAAAAAAAAACCTAAAACATAAACTACGTACAGGATGTTATGCAACAACATCAAATTCATATGAAAAAATTTACTTCTTGCTGAAATAAAATATTTTTAAAACCAAAACGGTCAAAGGAGCCAACGATCGACCGCAGTTTTCCATTCAGTATTTTTCTGTCGCGAATTTTTGCTGCCAGCAGCTCGTTTCCGGATCACTGGCTCGCGCCGCGATTATTACAGCATCGGGCGCCCTACTCCGGGCAGGGTTTAATTACGCGAGAATTAGGGCCAGTGACTTTTTTCTGTTCGCTTATTGATTTTTTCCACTAAGGGGGGTCGGGAAAGAAATGATATATATTGTAACGAAAAAGACTCTGGTAACGCCACGAAACGATCGCGGCATCACGGATACAGACTATGCCTGCCCAAAAGCCTTTTTTTTGCAGCAACAACAACAATGTAAAAAAAAGACGCGCCACCGCTCTTTGACACTCGCTGGAAAACAGTTTTCTCGGCACACTATTTTTAGACGCCGACCGTAATTGGGCCCTCTTGTGCGACTCCCTCCTAAAAAGCTGTTGGCAAAAAAAACGAGAGAAGAAAATATTACCCCGGTTACCTCGGCGATGTACCCCACGCCTTTTACGTAACGAGGGAGGCCTGGCGAAGCAATTGGTATTCAGCGCTGGGGCGTAAATACGTTGCAGGCAACGGGTCACCGTCACCAGACGCTGAGAAGTGGGCTGGCGTTAGTAATCCCATTACGTTACTGCGCTTTCAAGCGGTAATCGGATTTTGGAGACACTCGGCACCTCGGGTTAAAGTGAGTGCAGCCGATGGGAATGGACGTGGGGTCATATATTTCAACGCCACACGGGTAAGACGCAAAGGTGCAGCCCTGCAATGCCTTGTGCTTAGGCCTGCAATGATCCAGCTTGCTAACCGTTACACAGACATAAAGCATCCTACGACTGCACGAAGAAGAGCATTTAACAAAGGATCTGCCCGTGGATGGAATTTAATGTTATTTAACTTCTGGCTAGGATACTGAGAGGGCTCGTATGCACGTGCGTGGTGGGTTCATATTATTATCATAATTATCACTTTACAGGATCGTGAGAGATGATAACTTGGGGCAGGCCTTCATCCAGAAGTGGATGAAATGGCTCATGATGACGGCGATGATGATACAGCACCCCTGTTTATTTATTTAATGATTCGCCCGCAATCCACAAGATAGATTGCCACGTGATCTTATATTGCAGTGATGCTGTTTCAGAAGTAA